GCCTTGGCCGTACAGCAGAAGCAAGCAACTACTATATTAATATTTTGATTGCTGATGGTTCTGACATTAGGTCCAATTTCCAGTGACCCAAAATATATTTCAGAGCATGTCCAATTACTATTTCATGTTTTTGTGGCTGTGGATGTCTTGGTTTTGTGTAGTAATAACTCCTGCAAATATTTTTTTCTGAAATGTATAGACCAGCCCGAATCAAAAGGAAGCACTCTCTCTCTGCGAAGTATGTACTATCATGGTAGAAGAAGTGGCCAGCCTTCTGGCAAGCAATAAGACGGAGGTATGCATATTTCACAAAAGAAATCAGACTACTGATATTACCTTGTATAATAGAGTTTGTTTTCCAGGAGCTGTGCTCCATCTAGTTTGATTAAATGAAGTCAGGTGGTTTCTAGCACAATGGCTTTCTTTGTGGTGGCATCCTATATGTGGATCAAGGTCACCAGAGAGGCTTATCTTGCAGTGTTCTTGTCATATGAAGTGAATGCCCACCTTATTCATTACAGATAAATAATAATTAACCCATACTTATTTTGTAAATAGTGATTTTAAGTGCTACATTTAAGTGTGCCAATACTATAGTTATTTTGCATTTTGCTAGTTTTAGCAGATGCCTAGAGGACTTGTGATGACTTAACATACAAAATTGTTATCTTTATATGTACTAGGAGGAGATGGTACATGGAATGGAGAAAGTCTGTTTACTGATACCTGAAAAATCCAGAGACCAGTGCAAGGACTTTGTGGAAGTCTATGGGAAGTCTATTATTGACATGTTGTTGGAAGCTACTAGTCCTAAAATGGTGTGTGTGATGCTGAGATGCTGCACAAACAATGTTTTACCAGCTGGTGAGAACTAGAATAATCCTCTGCTTCATAATGAACACATCTATGTTGGATTTTGATTCTCCTTTTCCAGTATTGCAATTTTTTTGTTCATTAATATAAATATAGGAAAAAACTTGACATAAACACCTTTGTATTGTATATCCTCAGAAGAAATTGTTCCAGTGCAATCACAAGTTGGAAATATCTGTGATGTGTGCAAGATGATTGTTGCTTATGCAGACAAGGAACTAGCAAAGAATGCTACTACTGCTGAGATTGAAATGTTTCTGGAACGAGTCTGTCACTACTTCCCAGAGTCTGTTAGTGAGCAGGTAATTAATATGCTGTTGTCTAAAATTGAAGTACTGTGAGTGAATTCATCTGAAAAGCTAATCTATGAAAGCAGAGAGAGTACAGTCACAATTGACTGCTGCTTTTTAATGACCTCCACAACCAGTTCAAGCTGGACATTTTAAGTTCCAGCGTGGTAGGTGTGGTTCTTTCAAATTATTGCAAAGTGATGTGAAAGAAGTTAAGCAATTTTATTGGATTGTTCGATTGCCGAGCTGTTACGGTGACACTTTCAGAATGTAATATTTAACATAAGCAAAAAGTTGCCTTCAGTTGTAACATTGGGGTTGCTCCTGAGAGGTTCTCCAAATCACTTTTGTATGCTTTAAAATAAGTTGTCATGGAGTAAGTGAAGCATAGTTTGTGTTTCATAAGCTGTTCTGAACTTGCAAGCTATAAGCATAATACATAGGAATTTGAATTATTCCTTTGCTTTTCAGCTATGTATATGATGTTCTTGAGGGTCTGTGTCGAAGAATCAGTGGATACATTTTAATCTATATACTTCTATATTATGTAAATAGCTGCTCCTTGTTTAGCAGCTACCTTGTTTAGGGACTGTTCACAAATACAACAGTAATGATAATAAAAGTACGACCAAATTTCATGCACCTAACAGCAAAAGCCTTCAGTGTGAAGTCAGTTAAGGTTTGGTTAGTTTCAGGCAGCAGCAGGAGCGAAGGTTCTAATCACTTACAGGTAGTCCTCGCTTTCAGACAGTAATTGGGACCAGGAACTCCGTCACTAAGCAGTGCAGTCATAAAGTGCAATGTCATGTGACCACACCCACTTACAAGGGCCATTCCAGCAGTTCTGGTTGCCGTCATTAGGTGAATTCTGCATGGTCACAGCGTCACACTGTCATGTGATTGCCATTTGCTACCTCCTGATCGCTTCCCCATTGACTTGACTTGTCAGAAGCTAGTAGTGAAGGTTGCAAATGGAAATCACATGACTGTAGGGACTCTGCAAAGGCTGCAACTATGAGGACAGGTTGTGAGTCCCCCTTGTTCAGTGCTGTCTTAACTTTGAATGGTTGCTGAACAAATGGTCATTAAACGAGGACCACCTGTAATTAAGGTCACAGAGCTGAGCTTGTAACTTGTGGTTAGCAATTTTTAGGGAAGTGCTCCACTGTGGAGAAAAGCAGTTCAGGAAGAGATAGCTTGTTTAAGCAATCTCCCTGCCCTGTGAGGGGGCAAAACAAAACAAAAAAGAAAAAAAGTGGGTCAGGCACAGGACACTGCATGAGAGAACTTTATCTAAGTTAGATGGCAGCAACCAGCATTCTTCACAGTCTTGCTGTCTTCCTCTCTCTTTAGTGGCCATTTTATTTCCGAGTTAAGGAGCGGATTGTGGTTGTTAATGAGGAGAGCGTGTATTTAACTCTGGAACAAATAAATTACTTGGTTAGATTAGGTCTGTAATCTTAACTGCAAAAATCTAGCACATAACGAAAGGTCCCTAAATTCAAAAGTTTCCACCTGAGTCTCATAATCAACTGATACAGGATCCTGTTCCACTTCTCATAGATGCTTTATTTTTTAAAACAGTGTGTCCAGTTTGTGCAACAGTATGAGCCAACAGTTGTGCAGCTCTTGGCAGAATTGATGGATCCTACTTTTGTATGCAATGTAAGTACTGCAAGTTAGAATGTTTACTTATGAAATATACTTCATTAGTGTATATTGATTTCATTTCAGTGTAGATTTCATTAAGTAAATGCTGACTTTGCATTTAAGTGCTTAAGTATCTACCATCGCAACTTAAAGCTATTTATGGACCAGCAGGAGCCAAAGAAAATGCAATAATGCTTTAGCTTAAAGTGATTTATTTATTCTGTTTTTATCTCGCCACAGTCTTGTGATTCTCAGTAACAGTGTCACAGTAAAAACAACAGAATTCAAATAACATCCAATTCAAATCACAAATACAAAATTAAAATAGGATTAAAAAATAAGAGGTGCCCATGATATTACAAAAATGCCCTTTGAACAAACTCTGCTTTTTGTTCCCATTTTATTTCCTGACCCTTATGTTCAAGCAAGACATAACTCTCGTCAGCTGGAACTAGTTCACTTGGTTTTTCTTTGGTGCCTTTGTCATTCTTTGTAGAAGTCCTAATAATTGAAGGGACTGATCACACTTTTATTGCAGTGAAATTGACTACAATTACTACCTGTCACTTCACAGAAACTTGGAGTTTGTACAGCATCCACTCATCGTCTCTTGGGATCAGAATTCTGTGTCCGAGGACCTGGCTATTGGTGTAAGAACATGGAAACTGCATCTCAGTGTAATGTAAGTATTTTTTAAAATATACTTCTAAGCATGCATGTAGATAGAGACTGAAGACCAGCAAGCGGCATTTCCTTATGCCAACTAATATGGGAGAGATTTTCTACAAGGTAGGAGCACTACAGGAAGGAATGAGCAAGATCCAACACCTAGGTGGAGTACCTGACCACTGGGTCTGCAATGACGTAGCAAGGGCACAGCTTATATACCTAAAATAAATTGGCCAGGTGTTTGATGGGATCGGTGAATGCCACATAAAAGGTACAGTTTCTGCCTTTTTGAAAGAGGCTGTAACACCAAAACAAGTAAACAAACCTGAGTAATTAAAGTTTCTAAACAAATATGTTTAAAATGAACACATTTGTAGATTAACATGCATTTAAGAATAAAAACATGTTTGCCTAGCATTAAAAAAAATGTGGAGCCAGGTATATTTTACTGGAGAGTTCCTTCCAGAGCTGCAAGGCTACTACTGAACAGTCTTATCTATCACATCTGCAGTGTGAGAGAGCACCCAGAGCAGGATGCAGTAGGGAAAGAGTGAAATGTTGCTGCTTCTCTTCCATTGTCTCCACTGATTAAGCTCTGTAATGAGTTCTTACTATTGTTCTCTCAGATATGAGTTTTCTTCTATCTGCATTCTAGTCTTGCTTCATGGTTGTCAGCTGAGGGATATACCAAGGAGCTAAATGGGTTGTGCATAGCAAAAGAGAATGCCCAGGAATAGTCATGTCACCTGCCCAGGTCATCTCCATTGCCCACAGAGTGATTCAGGCTTCAACAGGAGCACCTGCCATGTAAGCTAGAAAGTTGCCCAGCACCTTCCAGAATCAACTAGCTTCTGGGGGTGGACCATCCTAATGAGTCTCCCACCATTTCAGAGAAGAATCACTTGCATGAAATTGTAAATTGTTATAATCATGGCAGTCCCGCCTTGGTTATTCTGGGGAAGATCAAATCTCAGCTCATTTCTGTTAGTTGGGTGGTACAGCAGGATGGGTAGTATGCCATCACAACCCCAGTCCTTCTCAAGTACGTAATACCAGATATAAACACACCAGAGTGGTACTGAAATGGATAGGAAGACTGGTGAGAGTAAAATAATTTCTGTAGATAGTGCCAGTCTCCCTTCACAATTCCTTGATTTGTTTTAGTATCATACTAGCAAACTAGTCTTATCCACGGTCAAACCACAGATGAATGAGGAAAATGTTACTATTTGTTTACTTGGCATTTAACCACAGACCAGAATGCTTACCGTAGTTCATCTAGAGGAGTAAGTAACCTGAAGAGGGGATACTCTTCTGGTTACCTGGCACTTCTGTTTACCTGGAATGGTACTCTCTGGTGGTATACGTGTGTTCCCTGGCAAGGCATTCCTTGTGCCTGTTTTGTTACTGTCTGATGGTAAGCAGACATTATGGTTTATTGAGGAATTTTAATTTATTTCATTTTAAAAATTTATTAACTATTATGCTGCATTTGGCTTGAACATGAATTAAAATTAAAAGTATGAAATAAAATGGCCCTCATTCCATCTCTGGAATAGCTCTCTCCCCCTTTGGTGTAAATCCCATGGTTTAGGCTGATACTAGAGCTATGTAAGCTTCAAAGATGGTTTGAAAGAATTGCTTCAGAACTCACACAGCACTTCTTTGCTATTCATTAAGCCAGCCCTTTGTTTAGTCTGTCATGTGAGCTTGGAAAAAAGATGGGGCTGCTTTAAAAGTAGCCTTAATTTTAATGAGTCAAAACCTTGAGCAGCTGCATGCTTTTTCAGGATCATGCAGAAGCATATTCTACCAACACTCCAGCCTTTATTCAGTGCAAAATCTGCACTGTTAAAAACTGGTTGCAGAACATTTACAAGCAGGATTGTTCATAAGGTGCCAAGCTCATTACCTTGTAATTATTATGGCATAAACTGGAGTTCATGATTCAGAATACAGCAGGAAAGGTAAGTGCTGGCTGGATGAAGTCCAAGTTATGGCTAGGGCTGTTAGATTTGAGCTGTGGAAACTCCTGACCACTAGATGGCAGCAAAGCATTACAGTTTCTGTCTCTCCTTCCTGCCATCTACTTGTTATCCAGATTTTTCCAGCCTAGATCTGGTAGACCCAGTTTTGAGCCAACTAAAACTCTGATATTGGATGAGAAAGTTATAGATGTTTGATAAGCAACGACTTTATAAAATCCCATATAATGCTTTAGAATGGCTTCCAGGCATTCTGTGCATAATCTTGATACAAACCATGTTTCCTCTGACTATGCCTTGCATATCTCTTCTCTCCCTCCCCCTCCCCCTCCCCCTCCCCCCAGGCTGTTGAGCACTGCAAACGTCATGTGTGGAACTAGAAGATACATCTTCTTTGGCCAGCTCTTTTTTCATTCTTGGAAGAAAATGGAAGCCAAGGGTTAGGCTAGTAAGAGCTAAATCTTAGTGTCTTGATCTTCTTTCCCTCCATTTCAAGTACCTTTATTGCTTAGTAGCAGTGCTACTATCCTGGAAGGATCCATTTTGACTTAATGATATTTCTAACTCAGTTTTAGACCTTTATGGTATAAGAACATCCTGTAAATCATCATTGGTCAATTGGCTTCAGTGCTTCTGAGAAGGAGTGATAATGTGTATGTATATGTAAGTAAACTAAGGACAGTGCTGGTGTGTCTGGATTTTAATCTAATTACTTGTTTTTTTTTTAAGACACTCTTGCTGGTAATTAAACCTATAATGTGTGACTGTAGTGTTCTTCATTGAAATAGCTGTTGATACCCCTTTGTGAACAGTTACCTTGTAGAGAACCTTTCAATTAAATTCTTAAATGCTGGCTTAAAACTGCATAAACACAGGCATCCCATTTCTTCCATAGGAATCTCCCAAAGAGATGACTTGGATATGCCCACAGTTGTATCATAATTAAGGTCATAAGTCCTAATGCCTATGTAGCAAATAATGAATGCTCATTCACAGCCTAAGTTGCAGGCTTACTAGTTGAAACTAGTGCAAGTTTCAAATGCTCAGTCCATTATTTTCAAAACAAACTCAGTAGCTTCTTTTTCAATGAACAAAACAGTAAATTATTACCTAGAAGATCAAGAGGTACACTTAATTTGGTCCATCTGAGAATCTAATGCATGTAGCTATTTTTCTCCATTTTGGTAAGGGGTGTTTCTGAAAAGTGTAGAATAAAAAAGCTTAGGAGAAAAATCAGGTTTATAGGTAAGTATCAGTTTTCCTGTTGGATTGCACAATTGTCTATTAACATCTAGTCCTCTACAGTGTTATAGCTATTTGCATGACTAGACATTTTCCTGAATTATGCTAGGGATAAATCAGAATGTCTATAAGCAAAATGTTATGTGATAGTCATGAGTTTGCTTGAAGACAGCTGTGGATGATGGGGCGGGGGGGTTAGTTTGGGGAGCAGGTATAGCTTTGTAGTACATGATTTCTATAGCCAATCTAGATAGAAGATTGAGCCATGCTGTGTGTCCGTTAGAGGCTTATATTGTCATAATGTATTTTTCCCCAATTGTTGGCAAGCACACAGACTTGAAAACGGCAAACATGTGTAAACAAACTATAACAATCTTAAATCCCATGACTTCTGACCCCATAGCTATCTAAACAATTTGTTCGAAATGCAGATTTGTAGAATGGAGTTCCTAAAATAATCAACCTTGGCATTATTGTTAGTCACATAACTTTATTTTATATATCCTGGGTGCACTTTTGAGGGCATTGACTTGAATTCTTCAGACTGATACTTTTTTTTAATTTGTCTGCTGCTGGCTCCAAATTCTTGCTGCTTTGAAATAAGTATATAATGAAAAACAGCAGATTAATATAGATGTTCATTCTGTAGCATTGTAGTTAACATCTCCACCTTTACAAGAGGTTGTTATTTGTTGCTGGAAAGTATAATACAGTCCCTTTCAAAGAAAAATGCCATTCTATGAGCTAAAACGCATTTCTGTGCAGAATTCAATTTCTTGCTTATAGGAAATGATTTCATATTTTTTTGGACAAATTCTTACAACTTAATGTAAATATGATGTGCAGAGTAATACCTTACCTTCTAGAGATGAACTGGGAAGACAAGCAGCTGCTTTAACAAACCACTCTATCCTTTTTCTTTTTGCACTAAAGCTTCTGTAATTCAATAAAGATGTAACTAAATTTTGTCAGTAGTGTTTTTTAAAATTACTTTCTTAACTTGGAAGCTAATGTATTGAGAAATACAAGTTCTAATGCTGATAATTTGTGAGCAGTAGAGCCATATCCTGGAAATTTTAGAGTAGCCTAAATGAGGTGCAATGTCTAGAGCGCCTGACAAATATTATAAGTCTTTTTGAATATGGCACCTGTTCTCCATATGCATAGGGTGGATTTAATACGCTGTGCTCCCTGTTTGTAGAGCTGAAATATTCCTTAGAGTTGTCTGTTCAGAGCTTTTGTCTTAAATTTGAAGGGCACCTGTTCATGTATACTGTTAAGTCATTTCATATGGCTATAAATTCGCTTTTCTAAATTTTCAATCCTGCCTGTAGCAGGTGCTACTGTTTTTATTCAATTGGAATTTTAAAAGACAGTAAAAACTAAGTTGTAAATAGCAATGCAACTGGGTGCAGCAAGACAAGAATATTGCCCTCAGCTCCTGTAATGAGCGTGTGTGTGTCCTATGAGTTACTGTTTTTCCACTGTTACTGGCACTTCTTGAAATATTTTTCCTATTCCTAGTTGAACTAATAAAGGAATTAGTTTTGTCATAATGGGTTTTTTTAGAGTGCTTGAGCTTGAACTTACAAGCTTAATGAATGATTATGCTACAAATAAAAAAAACTGGTTCTGTAATAAGCATTATTCAGAAGAAGTATAAATACTAGCCCAGTAAGAACAAAAAGTAATAGGCAATGTGTTGTACTTCAGCCTTTTTTTTCTTCTAGGATTCCTCCAGGAATGCACTGCTTAAATTCAATGGTGTATTTTGAATACTGAAAAAAATGGATAAGATTCATTAAGCCTTTTGTTTCAATCCAAGATACTCTCCCCCCCCCACACACCCTCAGTGCAGGGGACTCTGGTTTATGCCCTGGGGGGTTGTGAGCAGCATATAGGTGGGTCACTTTTTAAAAATTGATCAGCCTTCCATGAGTGGAGGGAAAATGCCATCAGAATAAGCTCTAGGTTTTGCAAGCCCCAGTGAACATTTGTGGGGCTGCAAATTTTGAGAAATCCTGTGGCATACAGATTAAAAACTTATTAAAAGTGGAATATTTCTTGCCCAGACCTAACCTTGATAAAATCAGTAGTTTAGTTTTATCAGTAGTTTAGTTTTATCAGTAGATAAAATCAGTGGGGGGGGGCAGTATCACATACTTGTTTTACCATTTTAAAAAGTTGTTTGAGAACAACCCCAATTTTATTTTACAAAACAGTGCTTTGCCTACTTCTGCTGTACC